TACAGAAACACCCCCCCCGGTAATAAAACGGTGCTTAAAAAGAAAAAAAAAAAACTAGTCACCATGGTGCAGGCAATCACACTTCTGGTATACATCCAAAGGGAAATAAAATCAATATATCAAAAATATATATGTACTCCTGCTCATTGCATCATCATTCATAATACCTAAGATATGGAAGCAATCTAAGTGTCCCTTTGAGGATATATGGATAAAGAAAAGGTGATAGACACACACCACACACTTGAATATTATTCAGCCTTTAAAAAGAAAGAAATCCTACAATCTGTGACAATGTGGATGAAGTGGGAGACATTATGCTAAGTGAAATAAGCCAGATGCAGAAAGACAAATACTGTAACGATCTTGATCACACTTTTATGTGGGAATTTTAAAAGTAAACTCATAGAAGCAGGAGAACAAGATGCTAGAGTCGGGTGGGGGAAAAATTGGGAGAATTGTTGCTACAAACTTTCAGCTAAAGATGAATAATGGTTCTTGGAGAACTTAATGTACAGGGGCATGTACAGCATGGTGATTACAGTAAATAACATTGTATACTTGAAATTTGCTAAGAGAGTAGATCTTAAATATTCTCATCACACATATACACAAAAAAGTACCTATGTAAGGCGATGGCTATGTTAATTAGCTTGATTGTGGTATTCGTTTCCCGATGTAGATCAAAATACCACACTGTATACCTTAAAAATTTTTGTCAATTATACAGCAATAAAGCTGTATTGCCGTATAAATAAATACATAAGAGATAAATAAAATACATAGATGTGCTCAAAGTGTGATTTATTTGGCGAAGAACTTTAGGTACTTTATTGTGTTTTGTGACCATAAAAAAAGAACATGAAAATTATTCAGTCATTGACAGAAGTACACTGGGAAACTCTGTCAATGAAAGCAGGGAAATGCCAAAGATTCTACACCAGACACCAGGCACCATTCTAAGGACATGGAATGCTAAGAGCTACTTCTACTCTAAAGTCTTAGTTTTGCTAAAACTTTAAACTGTTGTCAAATGACTGAAAGAACCACCACCATCACAAAAATATTCCACACACTTTATTCAGAAAAGCCTAGAATGCAGTAAGCAGAGTCAGTGGACACCTCTTCAGCATAACCTGTTTCAAAGATCCTCCTGACTAGGTTTTAATCCCAGGCTTATTATCACCCACCACCCAACATATTTTCAGGTGTCTCTCCCAAGGCCCAGCCACTACAGCTAACAATTAAAATCATTTTCTAAATTGATCTAACAAAACACTTGACAAGTTAAATCTTCTAAAATACATGTTGGCAGAATATTTACAATGCACTCCAAAATAAAAAAAAAATCCTCTTTTAGAGTTGCCATCATTTTGGATTATCTGAGCTATTCCCCTTTCATTAGCCCAACAGAGACTTACTGCACTCAATAATAAGTGGATCTCTGTATTACCAGCACTAGCTATATTAAGATTGATAAAACATTTTGAGTACATAGGAGTTTACAAACTTGTTTTTAAGTAACTTAAATGAAAAAGATGTCCATACTGCCCCCATATTTGGACTTCAATAGTTCTTCTTAGGTTATTTCTCTAAAATACATCCTGGGATTTCATGAATTGGGGACTGAAGTTCTGTTTCATTCTCTCTAATGGTACATAATAGGGCAGTAATTGTCAACAAGAAATAAGAAACTGAAAGGTCTTCACGTACTGCAAGCCCATACCTATTACAACCAACACTACAAAAACTATTTTGGTTTAAAGAAAGGGCAGGTCCCAATTATAGAGTTGTTTACACAAATGATATGTGTTAAACTTCATAGACTTTTCTGGGAAAATTTTAAAAATTAAAAAATTTTAAATAGAGTCATTTTCTAAAAAGCCGGGGTTATATATGAGGTTGTATACAAGGACTATATATATATAACATTACAGAAGGTTACATACAAGGATTTACAAGCCCCAGGCAATTAATCACTACTTTGAACAATTTACACTGAAGCACTATGATCAAAGGAACTTACAATATACAATAAAAATAGTTTTGAAAATCTAATGTTAACTAACAAGCATATGTCGCCACTGACCAGATTCAAAGATTCATTTGGAGCTGTCAACCCATCTGAAAGATCAATTCCAGAACACATGCAAATGGCTTGCTAAGCAGAATAATTGTAAAATTATATCCCTGCTGGCATAGTGCCCACATCTTGTACTGTAATTTCCCTAACATTTACTGAGCACCAATTATGTACCAGGCTCAATCACTCAGTAGTGTCAGATGATTTTTAAGTCATTTTTTTGATCTCTCAAAACTTGTTCAGAGTAGGCCTCAACAAATGCATGTTGAATTTAATCTGACTTACTTGTAGAGCTCTATACATTTTACTTCACTAACTTTCTAAGGTTGAATAACTAACTACATGCTTGCTCTGGCTCAAATCAGAGCTGATACTCTGTGCAGTGAACCCCTACTGCCAGGCACCCATGCCATAGTGTGAACAGGGGTGGTGATGTGGTAACCCAAGGCAGAAGTGGTAAGAGGGACAAGCAACAGGAAGGAAGAAAAGATAAAGCTATTAATAAAACAGAGTCCGTAGGACTTTGCAGCTCACTGGATATTGTAAATAGAGAAGATTTTAACTTGTATCTCCAAGCATTAGGTGAAAATTTAGTTTCTAACAATATTTATTAACTTATTTTTTTAAGTGCTTAGGATCCATGCCTTCCACCAATCCCCAATGAACATTATTCACTCAACTGTAAGCTCTTCAGGGCAGGGATCATGCCATAGTTATTTCTGTATCCCAAACACTCAGATCAGTGTACACAGTGGATATAAATGTTTGTTGAATGAATAATTTGCACTATTCATCTCCCCTTATCTTTTCCTTCTCCATTTTATTCTTCTCTCTCTCATTCTGTTTCTCTGTTTCTGTATGCTTGTGTCTATTCTTATCTGTATATCTATTCATCACTGTCGCGTCTCCTCTCTCCTCCCCTCAACATCATCCCTTCCATTATTGCCACAATAGAACATACACTTTTCTTTCATTATTTGAACTGGAATTGATGATCTACTTAAATGTATTTAAGTAGACCATTTTAAATTTCTCTTAAAGTTTTTTTTTAACTATGTGACCCTCAATTTACTATTTTTTAAAGATGACTTTGAAAAGAAAAACTGTCATTCAATCTAAAAAGAAAAGAAAGTGGCCTAATAGATTTTTGTGTTGGAGAAGTATTTAAATTTGAGGATATTGTGAAAGAGGAAAAAAGCTTAACGACTAATCAGAAAAAACAGAAAATAAATATAAAAAGCTAAAAGTTCCCCAATTTTAAGCAGATCTCTAATAAGGTTATTAAAGGAAAAATGTGAAATTTGAAGAGCTCAACATGTACTTTTATTCCATTATCCAAATCTCTAGAATGTAACTGAAAATGTTACGTTGGATATCTTCTTTCAGTACTGAAGACCTTATGATAAAGTAACTTATTTCTACCTTACTTATTTTTAAATGTTTAAATTTTGTGTTATATTTGTACCCACAAGGAAAATGACCCTTATTCCTTTTAAGTACTTGCTTGTGTGTCGTTTGCAAGCAATGAAGGTAAAGAAGTTTTCAATCTCTTAGTTGTAAAGTAGCAATATTTTTTTAGATAGAGTCTCCTCTGTTGCCTGGGCTCCAGTGCTGAGGCAGTCAGCCTAGCTCACACAACCTCAAACTCCTGGGCTCAAGCAATCCTTCTGCCTCAGCCTCCAGAGTAGCTGGGACTACAGGCATGTGTTACCATGCACGGCTAATTTTTTCTATTTTTGGTAGAGACTGGGTATCGCTCTTGCTCAGGCTGGTCTCAAACTGTTGAGCTCAAGCAATTCTCCCACCTGGGCCTCCCAGAGTGCTAGGATTACAGGCGTGAGCCACCCGGCCAGTAGCAACATTCTTTAAACTCCCCTTACAGGTTTCTAGGTAACACTCACCTCAATTCCCAAATCACTCAACAAAGCATCAAAATCCAAGAATTTAAAGCAGTAAAAGAGATGATATTTCTTCCTTTCATAATATTTAAAGTGCTTCTTTCCTCTATGAGACAGTATCATGCCCCTACATGTTATTTCTGATCATAAATAGCAAAATCCACTTAAAAGGAATAATTTGGATGCCCACCCCTTAATTTTGTATAAAATATAATTTTTATCAACAGAAGTCAACCAAAATTTGGTTTAAACATGAGTAATATCATCCAAACATCATATATTGAGGAAACTGGAAACCTCTAAGTTTCTTTGAATTTTTTGCTTAAGGAACCCACATCTCTTACAGAAGAAAATGATCATAATAAGCTTGTAATCAAACCTGTGCACTGAAGAGTAAGGATCATCCTCCCAATTCAGACCAGCTGAATGGGCGTCATGATAAGAGAATCTCATTACATTCAGGAAAAAGAAACACACAGAACGAGGAGTCATAGGGCGACGGCAGTCCTAAAGGCACTTGGCAGTTGAGCTTAGACACAGAAAAGCCCCGTGCAGCCATTCTTCCAACTGACAAGGAAATCTGAGTAGTAACCCTCCTACAAAAGCCTGTCTTAGCCAGAAAGGCTGGCGAACGCAGCCAGCCCAGGCACTGGTACAAAAGTTCCTGGTCGTTAGAAGTTAGAAAGATCCACGTTCTGGGAAAATAGCAAAGAGGGTGTGCGCTGTACACTGTGCACACCCTCCTCGGGCAGGAAAGACCAACAAAGATGCATAAACCAACTCGTTCAAAACCCACACTCCTCTCCTGGTCCGAGGCACCGGAGCGCGCGCCGCCGTCCAGGCTGCGGTGGGAGCCCGCTCCACGCCAACCCTGGCGAGCTGCACAGGACTCAGGCCCGGCCGCGGAACAGAAGCGCAGCGGTCTCATTCCGGGCAGGAAGGGATGCAAAGACGCACCCCCAGCCCCTCACCTGCCTGGGCGCGCCGGGACCCGCAGCGCGGAAACGCACATCCCTCACCTGGCAGAAGCACCTCTGCGCCGCAGTCTCTGAGGACTGTTGTCCGCCGCGTCCCGAACTGAGCAGCCACACGGCGCCCAGGAGGCCGATCAGGAAGCCCCAGCCGCGGCCCATAGCCGCTCGTCGCCCGGCGCCTTGGAGTTCCCCAGCACTCGGGCGCTGCCGTGCGCCCTCGGATGAAGCCCGCGCTGGCCGCTCCCCAGCGGCGCCCCACCCCCGGGCCGCCTCCCTGGCCCGCCCTCGGCTCCTCTGCCTCTCAGCGGTCGCCACCTCCCGGTGGAGCCTGCGGACGTGCCACAGCGCCCGCGCCGGCAGCTTGCGGCCTCAGGCCGGCTTCCTCCTCGGCGCGTGAGGCTGACGCACGAACCCGCTTCCCGGCTCGGCCCCGCCTGGCCCGCCGCGCCCGCGCTCGGCCCCCTTGCACCTCCAGCCTGGAGACTCGACCCGGCGCGCGAGCCCCCAGACGCCGCGCGGGGGTTGGGGTCCTTCCGCTGCGGTGCGACAGCGAAAGCTGGAGGGGCCTGTGTTTTCCTGCGGGGCCCCGCCCTAACCGGCTCACTCCCGGCCAATCCTTCCGTGTCTCAATGCGAGGAAATCAAACCGTAAGAATTACGTGTCCGCAGTGTTCCCGGCAGTCTTAAAGCCGAAAGGGATATTAGACATCATCTAGACCAGGGCTGCATATGTAATTTAGATTTTTCTAGTAGCCACATCAGAAGAGCAAAAAAAAACAGGTGAAATTTATTTTAAAAATATATTTTATTTAACCCAATCTGTGCAAAATATAATTTCAAAATGTAATCAATATTAAATGTATCCATAAGACATTTTACTCTCTCTTTTTTATTTTTTTTAGTCTTGGAAATCCAGTGTGTATTTTATACGAACTAGGCACATTTCATAGTCAAATGTGGCTGGCAAGTGCCCACTATATTAAACAGCGACAGTAGAGACCACCCTCTCTTTGCATAGAAGTAAACAGGACCAGAGAGGTGAGACGATGGATTGGGATGGCAAGGATTGGAAGCTAGTGATAGAGCCAGGTCCTCTTAGTCCCAGTCCTGGTCTTTTAACTTTCAGCCATGGGACGAGTCTATCAGCTTTGCTTTTGTTTTTGTTTTTTTGTTTGTTTGTTTGTTTGTTTGTTTTGAGACAGAGTCTCGCTTTCTTGCCTAGGCTAGAGTGAGTGCCATGGCGTCAGCCTAGCTCACAGCAACCTCAAACTCCTGGGTTCTTTCTGTTTATAGTAGAGACGGGGTCTCGCTCTTGCTCAGGCTGGTTTTGAACTCCTGACCTTGAGCAATCCGCCCGCCTCGGCCTCCCAAGAGCTAGGATTACAGGCGTGAGCCACAGCGCCCGGCCTTGTTTTTGTTTTTTAAGAAGAAAATTTCAGGTGAAACTGGAAGCTTTCCAACATCTCGCACATTGCAAGTTAAAATATTTCAAATTATCTCCTTTGGTAAATAGTTTTTTTAAGGCCACCATTTAATGAAGTAGCTTAGGATATGCTAGGCGCAAACTAAGTCTCCTAGCAGAGAAAATAGGCATAGAAAGTTTGTATACATTATTCAAAAAAACATAGTAGAGATAAGAGTTAAACTCAGGTATATCTTACTGCAAAGCCTATAGTTCTGTCCATCACTGCCAAGTGGACTGACATGTAGTAAAAACTCAACACGCCATCTGAGATCCTCATGGGACTGAGAAGCTCTGATTCTAATCTACAACATGCCACATATACATATTAATACAATATCCCTCCTTACCTTGAAAAGTCTTTTTCATACTTATCCTTTCTCGGGCCAAGACCTAGCTCACATGCTCCCTCTTCTAAGTGGTCTTCCTGTTTTCCTCTTCACCCAGTTCCAGTCTCAAAATGAATTTCAATTCAATAAACTTCTCTGTGCCAGACTGAGCTTGACATTGGAGATGTAAAGATGCATAAAGTCCAGTCCCTGCACATGGAGGGACACCCGTGGAGCTTAGTACTTTTTTAAAAAAATGTTTAATTAGCAAATAATAATTGTGTGCATTTATAGGGTACAATGTGATGTTTTTGATCTATGTATACATTGTAGAAAGAGTAAATCAAGCTATTAATAAACCCATCACCTGACCAACTTATTTTTATGGTGAGAATATTAAAAATCTATTCTTTCAGCAGTTTTACAATTAACAGTATGTTGTTATTAACTGTATTTATGCCTTCAGTTTAACTGAAACTTTATACCCTTTGACCAATATCTTCCCTTTCCTCATCCTTCACCCCCTTCCCCAGCCTCTGGTGACCATCTTTCTACTCTGTTTATATGAAATCAACTCTTTTAGATTCTGCATATAAATAAGATCACACAGTATTTGTCTCTCTGTGCTTGGCTTCACATAGCACAACATCCTCTAGTTCCATCCAGGTTGTTGCGAATTACAGAATTTCCTTATTTTTAAAGACTTTATAGTATTGTGTGTATATACCACATTATCTTTACCCATTCATCCATTGATGGACATTTAGGTTGCTTCCATATCTTGGCTATTGTGAATATGCTGAAATGAACATGGAAGTAAAGGAACTCAAATCAATAGCATGAAAACAAATAACCTGATTTAAAAATGGGCAAACGAGCCGGGCACGGTGGCTCACGCCTGTAATCCTAGCACTCTGGGAGGCCGAGGTGGGCAGATTGCTTGAGGTCAGGAGTTCAAAACCAGCCTGAGCAAGAGCAAGACCCCGTCTCTACTATAAATAGAAAGAAATTAATTGGCCAACTAATATATATAGAAAAAAATACCGGGCATAGGTGGCACAATGCCTGTATCCCAGCATACATCGGGGCTGAGGCAGAAGAGGATCACTTTGAGACCCAAGGAGTTTAATGAGGTTGCTGTGAGACTAGGCTAGACAGACCAAAAATGAAAAAAAAAAAAAAAAAAAAATAAGGGATGGCAAATGGCACTCACTCTAGCCTGGGCAACCAAAGTGAGACTCTGTCTCAAAAAAAATAAAATAAATAAATAAAATAAAAATGGGCAAAGGGTATGAACAGACATTTCTGAATAGAAGACATATGAATGGCCACCAGATATATGAAAAAATGTTCAACATCTCTAATCATCAAGGAAATGCAAATTAAAACCACAATGAGATATCACCTCGCATCTGTTAGAATTGCTATTATAAAAAAGCAATGTTGTTGTTATGAATTATAACAAATGCTGGAAAGGATGCAGAGAAATGGGGACCCTTGTACATTGTTGGTGGAAATGTACTTTAGTACAACCATTTTGAAAAATAGTATTGAAGTTCCTAAAAAAACTAAAAATAGGCCGGGCGTGGGGGCTCACGCCTGTAATCCTAGCACTCTGGGAGGCTGAGGCGGTGGATTGCTCGAGTCAGGAGTTCGAAACCAGCCTGAGCGAGACCCCGTCTATACTAAAAATAGAAAGAAATTAATTGGCAAACTAAAAATACATATACAACAAATCAGCTGGGCATGGTGCGCGTGCCTGTAGCCCAGCTACTCGGGAGGCTGAGGCAGGAGGATCGCTTGAGCCCAGGAGTTTGAGGTTGCTGTGAGCTAGGCTGACGCCACGGCACTCACTCTAGCCTGGGCAACAAAGTGAGACTCTGTCTCAAAAAAAAAAAAAAAAATAGAAGTACCATATGATCCAATAATTCTACTTCTGGGTATATATCCAAATGAATTGAAATAGGTATAGCAAAGATATATCTGCACTACCACATTCATTTCAGCATTAGTATGTAAATCTTTTTTTTTTTTTTTATTGAGACAGAGTCTCACTTTGTTGCCAGGCTAGAGTGAGTGCCGTGGCATCAGCGTAGCTCACAGCAACCTCAAACTCCTGGGCTCAAGTGATCCTCTTGCCTAAGCCTTCCGAGTAGCTGGTACTACAGGCATGCGCCACCATGCCCGGCTAATTTTTTCTATATATATTAGTTGGCCAATTAATTTCTTTTTATTTATAGTAGAGACGAGGTCTTGCTCTTGCTCAGGCTGGTTTCGAACTCCTGACCTTGAGTAATCCGCCCGCCTCGGCCTCCCAGAGTGCTAGGATTACAGGCGTGAGCCACCACGCCCGGCCTAGTATGTAATCTTTTTTGACATTTTCTACTTCATATTTTTATCACTGAATTATAAACTCTTTAAACTTCTTAAGCAAGGATTATGTTTCAAACATCCCTGAGACTCCCAGAGATCTTAACAAAGAGCATGTTTGCATGTTTGTGGAATGAATAAAAATTTTCATATAGTCATTGTACTAATAACTAAAGATTAGACCATGAAAAATGAGAGATACAAGAAAGGGAGTAAACTAAATGAGTAAAGCCTAGGATTTCAGAAGGAAGCAATCTGAACATGAATCAGTTTAACATTTCATTCTGATGCAATAGCGTGTAATCTGGGGGAGCTTAAAAATGTCAATGTTCCTATGATGGAAGTTCTTTTCCATAAAACTCAAATTCTTGCCTAGAAAAAAAATTCTAGCAAACTTATAATCAGGGCTGAGCGCAGTAGCTCACACCTGTAACCTAGCACTCTGGGAGACCAAGGCGGGAGGATCACGTGAGCTCAGGAGTTTGAGACCAGCCTGAGCAAGAGTGAGACCCTGTCTCTACTAAAAATAGAAAAATTAGCCGGGTGTGGTGGCTCATGCAGGTAGTCGCAGCTACTTGGGAGGCTGAGGCAGGAGGATCTTTTGAGCCCAGGAGTTGGAGGTTGCTGTGAACTAGGCTGACACCACAGCACTGTAGCCCAGGTGACAGAGTAAGACTCTGTCTCAAAAAAAAAAAAAAAATCTTACAATCAGAAACAGTAATCATATAATTCTTTTACTTCATTATCTTGATACTTGTAAGTTTTCCTTTCAAATTTGTAAGAGATATTAGAATAAATAAAATACAGTTTTATATGTGTGGTGTGAATATCACTGAAGTTTCCCTGAAAATCCTTCAAGTTTGTCCTTTATATGAGTTTACTTAAAATATGCTTGCTCAGGTAATCATCTCACCTGTATTAGGGCCCATGAAATCACTGATTATTCATTCAATAACTATTTAAAGAGCACCCACAGGGTACATAGTTCAACCTTTGATTTCTGAAAACCTGTCCTCCCATCTATTACAACTTTGCTAAACAACATTAAATTTTTTAGTGATGAACAAAGTCACAACCTTGTTATTCTAATACTAGTGATTATAACAATAACATGACTTAGATTTAATGTACATGGCATTTCTTGATGGAATTCTGATTACCGTGTAAATTACTGTGTAAATTATTTTTTTAATGACCAAAGCAGGAAATGGCTTGAGCCCAATTTCTCAAAATGGGACATGGAGAATTCTGTGGGAAGCTTCTCAGTACCTAAACAATTTCTGGTATTGAATATACTGGAAGGATATAATTAAAAGGAAAAAAATTGGCAAAGGAAGAAAGGCTAATTAAAAACCTAAAGGTTTGGTGCTGATGTTTGATTGGAATCACTTATCTAATTAATATTTACTGATATAAATGTACACATAGCACATTGCTAGACATTTCTCTCAAGGTGCTTAGAATCATCAAGACATGCCACCTAAGTTCTGTCTTCACCTTCTTTACCTCAAATTCCTGAAAGAGCAAGCTATGTATAGTCACTGACTTCACTTCTTATTCAGTCTTCAACTTCCCACTTATACCTTAATCCATTGTGCAATCTGGCTTCCAGCTCCTGAAACTCCACTTCATGTGACCTTCTTA